AAAGCGGCATCGCACTCGGAGGTCCACTGAAACGGGCTGTTCTTGCGTAGAAGGCTCGTCAGGGGGTGAACAACATCCGCAAACTTGGGTACGAACCGGCGGAAATACGAGGAGAGCCCGATGAAGCCACGCAGTTGTTTCACAGATTTAGGACGCTCGAACGATTCAACGGCCGCTGTCTTTTGTGGGTCAGTTCTAATGCCATCTTTGTCGACGAGATGTCCTAACACCAATGTCTGTCGCTCGCCAAACTGGCACTTTTTTGAATTCAATACAAGGCCAGATTTTTCAATGCAGCTGAGCACGAGGTCTAGGCGAGTGTTGGGCTCCTCAAACGTACGCCCAAAAATTACCACATCATCAAGCTAACACATGCATATATGCAATTTTAAACCACGCAATATAGAGTCCATAAATCTTTCGAATGTCGCAGGAGCATTACATAATCCGAATAGCATAACGTTGAACTCGTAAAGTTCGTCGGTCGTAACAAATGCCGTCTTTTCTTTGTCAGCTGCATGCATTGGAATTTGCCAGTAACCTGATCTCAGGTCAACAGATGAAAAGTAGGACGCGGAATGCAGGCAGTCTAGAGCATCATCGATGCGCGGCAGTGGATAGACGTCTTTCTTTGTAACAGAATTCAGTCGGTGGTAGTCAACGCAAAATCTCTACGTACCATCCTTCTTCCTCACTAGAATGACGCGAGCAGCCCACGGACTTGCCGATTCCTGTATTATTCCCTTTTCCAGCATCTCTTCGACTTGCTCGTTGATGATCTTGCGCTCCGATGGTGCCACTCGGTAAGGTTTCTGCCTAATGGGATGCGCCGACTTGGTGTGGATCTGATGACGTATCCGGGACGCTGGGATTAAGGGCCTTTGGCTGTATTTAGAAAAATCGAACACTTTCGAGTGCTTAGACAGAACGTCGAGCAGTGTATGACGTTCGCTTTGGTCAAGTGACTTGCTGATCATTTGTGGCAATTGGGCATCTTCTGAACCTTCGAAGCCTAGATGTTCATTTTGGCTTGTAGCATCAACAAGTGCAACCAGCCTCGTACATGACTCGGGTCTAAATACTGCAAGTTTCATGCCGCCTGGCAGAATTGCAGGCTCCATGAAACTGTTCATTGTCCACACACCTGCCCGTCCATCAACGACTGACACTATACAATGGAGAATGAGAATGTTCTTTTTCAGGCATGCCGAGGGAATCGGTTCGAGCGTGGCGTCAAACGTGCCACAGTTGTTACTGGAACATGTCACGGGAACACACACAGCAGAAAATGCAGGAACGACTGTATCCACGGAGACGAAAAAGATGCATTTCTCCGGACAGGAATTTTCCAACAGCGCCGTTGGGAAAGTACCGTGTATCGAAAGATGCCCACTTCCGCTGTCTACAGTTGCCCCACACTCACACAAGAAGTCAATACTCAAGATGACGTCATGTGTAGACCGCGGAATAACCGCAAACTCTGCGCAAAACACCTTGCCACACAGCGAGACGTCCACAGTACAATATCCCACCGGAAACAACACGTCACCACTTACACCACGAAATGTCACCCCACGGTTCAGGCAAACATCATTTTGGTCCTAGCAGGTTCTTAAAATTTACACTCATCACCGAGACTGTCGCGCCTGTATCCACAAGTGCCATAGTAGCCACTCTATCAACAACTACACGAGCTTTGTTCTTCAACATGAACGCTGACGGGGGTATATCTGTAGATAGCATCTGTGATCTTGCGGCTTCACCCCCACTGGCCGCACCGACTAGTTTTCCGGTGGCGGTGTACGTGCGCGTCGCCGTGGCGACGGTGATCGTGGAGCACAGGGAGCTGGTGGTGGCGTCAAACTTTGATCAGAGGCCGGTGAGGGGTAGCGTGACCCGGTAGGTGCGCGTGGTTTCCGTGACGTGGAGTGCGGATGGTTGAAATGTTGGTGATACATGTGCCAAGACTGTCGCTGATATGGGCGGTGGTCACAAAAACGTGCAATATGACCCGGGACGCCCCAGTTGTAGCATACCGGAATCGGTCGAGGGGCACGTGGCTGCTCAGAGTAACGACTCCTCTCGGAAGGCATGGGATAGTGGTGCCGCCCTTCAGGGGCACTGTAGGCAGGCGATGTTGGGTAAACAGGCGGGCGAAAACTTCGTTCGTAGTTGGGAGTTGGATGACGGGGGAATCCAGCCTGTCGTGTGCCTTGATATTCATAAGCGTCTGCTGCGTTGATCGATGGTTGCCATGGTGGAAGAGAAACAGGAGTCCGCACACGTTCTGGTTCGTTTACGTACACATCCTGAAAATCGCTGGGGCGATGATAGGTCTGCTGACATCGAAGCAGCTCTTCTCTGACAATCTGCCGTATGGTCAAAGCAAGGTCGTTAGGCGGCACTGTTTCAACACTAGCCATAGTGGGGACGTTGGACAGGCGGCCGAATTTCGGAGAAATTTGTCGCATCTTGAGGAATTCAAAGGTACGACAGTGCTTCATCACGTCGGACACGGAGTTCAAGCAGTCTTTCTCAATTAAGAAATTGTACACGTCTTCGGCTATACCCTTCAGAACGTGTCCAATCTTGTCTTCTTCGGACATCCTCCCATTCACAATCTTGCACAGCTTCCAATATTGGAAAGTATGCGATTTACAATTAGCCTATTTGTGCACTTCCTATAACAGAGTGAGATACCATTGTATAGTACATCACCCAACTGCAGGTGTCTTAGGAGCCGGAACAAAAAAGCATGCTGTACCTTATTAAATGCTTTTGCAAGGTCTATTTGAAGGAGGGCTACTTGGTCCATGCTACCATCTATACACTCAAGAACTGAACGCGCAATATGAATGTTTGTATAGAGCGACCATGAATTCCTCATGTTTGGTGGTCACTTACACATTTAGTAATCACTGTCTGTAGCCGATTTGTCAACAATTTAGCAAATATTTTGTAGTCAACATTACATAACGATATAGGGATGTATTCGTTAACTCCCTTTAATGCGTTAGGATCAGCACTTTTTGGGATTAATGGTGTATGGCTCTGATAGAAAGAAGGAGAAAGTTCACCATGGTCATAAGCCTCTTTAAAAAGTTGCTCAAGGAAAGGTATCAGAACTTCCTGAAAAGCTATGTAAAATTCGCCACTAAGGCCATCTGTACCAGGAGTTTTGTTTTTCTGCAACGTTGTTATTGCAAATCTAATTTCCTCTCTAGTTATTGGCCCCTCTACAGGGAGTCTATCATCATCTTGTAACTGAGGCACAAGGGCATTGAAGTGGTTAGCTTCTTCCTCAAAATTCTCCTGAAGCTCAGCCGTGGTGAAAACATTTGTAATAATCTTCAACTGCGGCTCTTATTTCACATGTCTCTGTGCAAAGGGAATCCCGCGACTCAATTTGCAGTATCTGTTTAGAAAGTGCATATCTCTTTTCATTCCCGAGGGATTTTTTAGTGGGTTCCTCTTCAGTGAAATTGGTAACACGGGAACGAATCTTAGCTCCTCTGTATAAATCTGTATCATGTTTTTGTATCCGTGCTCGAATCACATTTATCTCGTCCCCGTACAATCCCGGCTGTTGACTTTCAAAAGTATGGAGCTTATGAAGTAATTCATAAAGATAGCGCTTTTCAGCTTTTTTTCTTTGCGCTATTTCGCATTAAATACTAATTGCCTGATACTTGACTCTTTCTTTGAACCTTTCCCATTGAGCGAAAATTGGCAGCTGTCGAGACTGTGTTACCTCTTGTACCAATTCTTTTACTATATTAACAAAACAATCTTCGCGCAACAACTGTACGTTAAGCTTCCATAGGTCCCAGTTTAGAGGGGTTTTACGAAAATTTTTAGGACCCCAAGAAACAGTGACCAAGCAATGGTCTGTAAAAAATATGGGCTTTGCAGCATAATTATGAATGTGAGACCATAGGCTTAGAGATACATATACACGGTCAAGCCGAGCATGAGAGATGCCTTGAAAGTGCATGAACCTCACCGAGGAAGATGCATGTGCTCCCAATCTATTAAATTGTGGTCATTCAATAGCTTCTGCAGTAAGGCTGCACTTGCATCATAGCGATTTGTTATATATGAATGATCTCTAGCGTCACAAACACAATTAAAGTCTCCAAAAACTACCAAAGTTCTGTCAGTGTTTAGTAGCGAAGTTAAAGAAAGGAAAAAAGAATTCCTTTCATTCACTTTGGAGGGAGCATAGACACAGATAAACCTCCAATTATGGGAATGAAAAGATAAGTCGCAACAAATGAGGCGTCATTCGCCATCAACATGTAGTGACGTCAAAATATGATTCAAGTGCTTTCTAACTAATAAAAAGCATCCAGCGGATGCACCACGTGCTGCGCTGATGTGTAAATTGTAATCACGGAAAATTTCCAGTGCAAGATCGGCGTCACGAGCAGCGGAAATCTTCGTCTCTTGCACTGCGAGTACATCAATGTTGTACTGCTCAAACACGTGGCGCAACTGCCACTGACGCCTTACATTCCTCAAGCCACGTACGTTGAGTGTCGCTACACACATAGGAAACGTTAGCGCGGTACCATTTTGATATCTTACTACTTTCGTAGGTCACCTTTAGCCACAGGGCAACCTGTGGCTTTAGCTCCTTTGCACTTTTTAGGAGCACTTTCCTCAGAACGCTGGCATAGGCGGCGCGTCTCTCGGTCCCCAAAGAAGGTGACACGTGGACCACACGAAGACACTTGCTCTGTCATGTCTGGCACACTCGTTGTTGCTTCATCGGTGACCGGTGCCTGACGCTTCCTTGTCTGACTGCAATCTATTGCTTCTTGTTCCTCATTGTCAGGAGGCTTGTCTTTAAGGCCTTTCAAGTGGTGTTCGTCAGCAGCATTGCATTCATTTATGCTTTCACTGGCGTCGTTAGCGGTGTTATTTTGCGTGCCAAGGGTATCCATGGACAAGTGTTCCGCTTCCTTTAAGGCACCTTCTGCTCCTCCCGCTGCTTCTCCTGTCGCATCAACTACCTCAGTGATATCCGTAAGATGATCGAGACGTTGGTCTTCTGTGCCTTGGCCAGAACGGAGTTTGTTGGCATAAGTCGACACGCAGGCATCCGACGAGTGACCAAAACGCTGGCATTGCAAGCACCTCGGTGTTTTGCACTGTCGTCGTACATGCCCCACTCGCTTGCACCGAAGACACAGTGAAGGCCTACCGGGAATAAGTATACGAGGCATTGGTGGCCATAGATTGACATAAGGGGTGGTATTGAGCTCACAGTGATGGTGTCCTTGAGCTCCAAGGCAACGTCTCTATTTGTTGTCATCCATTGTTTCATTCCTGCACATTTCCATGCCTCTCTTTCAACGGACTTCACAACGCCGTAAGCTAGGAACGCCTCTTCAACACGTCGCGATTCAAGATGAGGCGGAAGCCAAAGTAGTTTCAGCCTAATATTCTTGGTCTCCGGATCTAGCACCATGCACTTCAGCCCTTTTACACGGAGCTCACCGCAAGTGACGAGTTTTTGTTTCGCCATGCTGTTTGCACACGTAACCATCCATACATGGCTCATTTGATACTGGCCAACTCCAATAATGTCCGCTGTGCTCACCACTTTAAGCAGCGCGTCACGGAAGTCTGGTGCATGGTACGGCCTACCATTCAAGTCGGCATGAAGGAAAACGGAATTCAAAACATCGTTACCGGTTGGAAGACATGGCAGGACGACTTTATAGCTTGAGTCTTCATCATGAAACGGAGTCGATGATCCTCGGCCGTTGGCCGATACGCTGTTACCAGCAGAGAGCATTTTGGAACGCAGCCGATCGGTGCGGCCACACCGGTGCTTGCGGGTTGTCCGCAATCTTGCCTTAGGCAGGCTTGATGTCGGGAAAGGAATCTCGTTATTAGAAGTAATAAAGCGTTTTAGAACTGCAAAAGGACAATAAGACATCACACAATGCGAATAGCGTAAGAGTAGGTCGTCCAATGCTCCGACCCATAACAAAATCTTGTTTTATCACCTATTAACTGTGTGTATACCCACTTCAGGCATAATTATTCATCGTCGTCAGGCCATGTATGGACAATGGGCACAAAATTGCTTGCGAGTGTTAAGCGATTACAATGCTTCTCAAAAAAATAACGAATAACGAAAAGAGTTAATGCTGGTATACTAAAGATAAATTATTACTTTTAAGGCCGTTGTGGGTGCCCAGCAAGTGTGCTTGCAGCAGTTACCCAATGAGTGTTTAGAAAAGGCTCTGAAAGGCTGCTCTTCTAGCTTTCGCTATGACTGTGCTGCGCCTTCCACGCAGGCCTGGCGTTTTTTTTTTTTTTTTTTTTTTTGTCGTCGGCCAGCTCCCCGAGCGCATGCGCCCAGCTTATTAGTTCAATGACTGGATAGCAAAGGTAAATAATTAAGTCAAAACATGTTATGACTAAGCTAATTTAGCCGCATATTAATACTACCGTATCAATGAGGCTGATTAAAGCTTAGACGCCTTATAGTTGAAATCATTCTACTAAAATTACCACTAATACAGAGCAAGTTCCTAAAACTACGATAATTAGTGCATAACCCACTAATGTCATGCCAATTGATGAATTAATTTGCTTCATATAATTCAGAACATTGCGTAATACAGCTGATGTAACTATTCACGTGTTCCTTAAACTTTACCAGTCAAGACAAAACTCTTCTATAGCATGTTACATAAGCCCTACCTAATTATTACTTCAAAATCGAGACCGAACTGACGTGGTCCTCACTCCGAAGCAGACCAAGTTGACTGAGTAGGCGAGCTATGTAAAAAGTTGGAAGAAGCTGATTATAAGCTCCTCTGGTGGCTCCAGCTTTGCACAAGTAAGGCAAACTGACCAAATTTTTATATGCAAAAAAAGCTGCCGTTTAACGTCAATTTTTATTAGTATTTGTTGGGGTTTAACGTTCCAAAACTATCATATAATTATGAGAGACGCCGTAGTCAAGGACTTCGGAAATTCCGACCACCTGCGGTTCAATAATGTGCACCTAAAGCTAGAATCCCACAGGCCTCAAGTATTCTAGCCTCCATCGAAAATGCAGCCACTGCGGCCGGGATTCGATCCCACCACCTACAGGTCATGAAACTCTTGACGGTCACACCAACACTATGACACACAGGAGTTGAACGGGGGCCTTCTCCAAATAAATGAGCTTGCGTCCCAGTTCATACGTACATCAGTTTGACTGACATACGCCCGCGGCGAAGATCTGGTCCAGCAACCGGATTTGCTCTTGCCCAGCAACAGTGATCCCGACGCAACGCACGTCACGTGGTGGTCTAGTGGCTAAGGCACTCGGCTGCTGAGCCACAGGCAACGCATTCGCCGCCCACGGTGTTCCTTTTGAAAATCACCGCAATTGCCGCGCGTGCGTTTGCGACGCCATGCTCTTTCGTAGTCGTTTTTATCAACATTTCAATAGGGCGCTCCATGACCGCTGTAGTACGAGCTCGGAGCAAACTCGTGCGCCCGAGGTGCTCAGGCCATCCTTCATATCACCCCTGGGGTTCTTTAACCCAAACCAGTATGCATCGAGGGTTTGGAACGTCACAGCCCAGATATTTATTATTTAAATTTCAAGTTTTCTGAGTCTTACTGTATTTTTAAGACTGTGACTACAAAACATAAAAGATAATAACACTGTTTCAATACTGAATTTTAAGCACTGCACGCTTTCACTGTCACTTGAAAACTCTAGTGTATTGGCTTTTCCTTCACTGTAAGGATTGCCGATGGGACTGCAAGGAATGCATAGATTGATATGTGGTGTTCAACGTTCCAAAACTGCCATATGATTATGAGAGACGCTGTAGTGGAAAGTTCCCGGAAAGTTCGGAAAGTTCGACCATCCGGAAAGTTCGACCACCACAATGCAGTGAACGAAAAGCGGTGCTTATGTAACGGTTCTATAGGAGACTACAAACGACTTTGTGCCGAAGTGTCAAATCGAAGCTATGGTAATTGAACGCCCAGTGAAAAGAAACCAGTAAACACAGCACAATACATGTGGCGATTGAAAGTGGTTTACGTAAGTTTTTCCGTGTGGAACACGAAACCAGAGCAGTCAGATGACGCAGTGGTCATGCATTGCGAGCGTGAAGAAGTTGATTAGTGATTCGAGTATCATTCAGCGTACTGGAAACAAATCTCATTTTTCGTTTCTTTTCATGCATCGCAAAGGACCATGCCTGCTGAATGACAGTGAAGCGGCAGAGTGCAAGCAATATCCTCCGAAAAGTGCAAGAATTTAGGGGTTCAGATGAAGAGCAGAAAGAGGAGAAAAAGGATTGTCAACACAGGCACTGTTTCCGCGGAATAATGCTTTCTAAGCCTTCAGCGCCATCGTCGTATCTCACATTGCCGGCCCCGTATAATGTCATCAATCATTCTGAAGCGCGACCTGCCGAAGTCCGCTATATTTTTCCCGCACCGCTCGCTAACAATGACGTCGTTCTGCGGAGTTCATGTAAGATGAAAGTGCAATGTTCTTGCGCTGTACGGACTTCCCGAGCAGCAGGCCTCCATCTTCAAGACACGGATAGAGGAGAGAGAGAGAGAGAGACGAAACCGACGACTTGTGGACCTCGGTGTAGGAAACGAAGGCTTCGCGCAGCGTCCGACTTCCCACTCGACCTAATATTTCATGGGAAGCGCTATCCCCGGTCACATTTCGTGGCCCTTACCGGGGCGGCTCGGACAAGCGCCGTGAAAAGAAGTCAAGCCTCCCCTTGACTGTTTGACGATTCCCGCCGCGGCGGCCGCCGTTTTTCTGCGTCGCGTCGCCATGCCGCGCCGCACGGCGGCCGGTGGGTGCGCCGTCACCATCGAGATTCGCCGCGCGTTCTCGTCCTAATGACGCCTCCTTCCGGCCACGGCCTCTGTCCCGGATGCTTTATCTTTCTTCGCTCTACTCGGAGAGCGCGTCGCCGCTGGGCACTGCCGTCTTGGCTGTCTATTCGTTTGCACCCTACACGGCCCGCTGTTTCCTCAGGCTTCCGGGTGAAGCGGCAGAGCAATTGTTTTTTGTTTGTCTTGTGTGAGCTTTGCTTTCTCTGTTACCGCGATTAAGGTAGGAAGACATTCCCCTATTCGACTGCGAGAGCAGTAAATTATAGGGCGTCGTTTCTGATCATTGACAGTGTATCTTTTGGTGCTGCAACAGTGGACTCCCAGATTTGGCTCGTCAGCGCTAAAAAGGAACTTGATATTGGAAATAACTTCTACAATAGCAACAACAATAACAACAACAACATTATTATTATTATTATTATTATTATTATTATTATTATTATTATTATTATTATTATTATTATTATTATTATTATTATTATTATTATTATTATTATTATTATTATATTATTATTATTATTATAAATCACGAAGAGGCTCTAAGTCATTGAGGGCTCCAATAATATGAAGAGTAATACAGTGACCAAGTGGTGCCTTCACTCAGTCAAATTAGCACAGTTAATTCGTGCTGTAGACTGGACATCACTGATTAAGGAAGACTACGCAAAAAAGCCTTTCCACCCATCTCCGAAACAATAACAACGACTATGAAAAAGTGTGCCACCTACACTAGTGTGACAAAGTTGTTTCCCTCCCATAGAGATATGTACATTAGTAATACATTCTGAAAGCCCCTTAACAATCGAACGACCTTCATAAGAAATTAAAGCCGCATTCTTTCGAACTTTACACCACAATTCCGCTATAAGAAATAACAGCAATGTTACTTTCTTCATTAAGGTGGGATAAGGGCAATCAGTATGTTCTTATTGTTACCACAAGCAGTACGACGCGCCACTGGAAAATCACGCGTTTCTGTCTTAGCGAAACGTCGGGGTTGTTCAAAGTTAGGCGCATCGGACGACCAAGGAGACGAATAAGTGTGGGTGAAACTCCGCGGAGGCAATCGATGAGACGTCAACACGATGATTTCGGGGAGCACTCATTGGGGGTTTATTTAGCTAACACAACTTCAATTTACAAAAAGCACTGGGTCACAAAGACAAAACATAGAAAATGGTGACATACCCCTCGGCCTGCATGGCCTGGTCTCCCGTGGTGAGATCCGCTGTTTACACCGACTCCGCTCACTTTTCAAGTTCAAACATCCTCTTTTTAACCCTTGGTCGAACAAAGAGTCTTCACAAAAACCAATCACATGTTGGGACTCGCAGCATCACAACCAATCACAGAAACACTTTCATAAAAGGCACTACATTTGTAAAAACATCCTTACCAAAATGAAACACGCAAAGGGAAAGGTCCTCCGCACGTGACACTCTCTCCCATGCCAGGCCGAGCTGCCCAACGTTACTCGTGCTGCCTCCTTCGGCCGACTACCGTCGGCGGCCGTTCCCACGCTCGGGCCCCGTCAGTTCTTTCGTTAATTGTTGCTTCCTAGAAGCGTCCTTAAAAGCGATGGGTACATTATTGCTTACCAGGTGTACATGCGACAGCGAGGCGCCCCGACATCCTAACAACAGCGCGGTAGAATATGGTCGTTTACCTGCCGCCACTATGTCTCGGTCAGGCTAAGTGGTCGCGTCCCCATGTCATTCTCAATGACACGCGTGCCTGTTAACAATGGCTTAAACTCAGACGGTGGCGCCGGACCTGCCTCTTGCTAGACGCTTTTCTGAGTAAGCTTTCCCCTTCTAATCCCGAACGGGGGCGACCTTGACTGCTCCGTTTGTAAGCCGTAAAAGAACAGGGTTCTCCGCGAAACCTTGCTCTCGCGACACTGTACAAGAATGA